AAAGGCTTTTCCCCCTCTATATTTTTTTATTGTTTCAATGTTGTGGCGTTGTCTGAATGAAGACAGGGCCAGGATTGCTCACTTGGAGCACGCTGCTCTTCCAGGGATTTGAAGGATGTTTGGTGCTCTCAGGTTTTAGGCAGAAGATGCTGGGTCGAGGTGGAATTCCCTCTCCTCAAGCCCAGTTTATTTGCATGTCTCGCTGAGCCAGGCCCAGCAGCTCTGCCTGGTTTCGTGGGTGGCTCCAGCACAGCAGCCCCAGCCCCCTCGCTGTGCCTCTTTGGGTGCAAGCTCTGGAGCATCACGTGGAGCTCTGCTGCTCTGTGGGCTCCTCTTCTCCGGGCCACTGCTGAGAGGAGGCCACGAGAGGTGTTTGGGTCACACTTTTGTTTGCCCACCCAGAAACGAGGCTGTGGCTGCAGCTGAGCTCTCTGGTGGGGCTGCTTTCCTGCCCTCAGCTCGTACAACCAAAGGAAGGCATTTCTGCTTTTTAATGTTTTTTTTTTTTTAATGGTTTTTGGGGTGTTTCATAAGCCACTTCCCCTTCCCTCTTGCTGAAATGTTGCCTCAGCTGCCAGAGCAGCAGTGGTGGGGCTGTGGGGCCAGGGCTGTGCTGCTGTCCCCTGGCCATGTGTCACCAGCTGCTCTGTTTGGTGGCACAAGGCCCGAATCCAGAGTTTCAAACAAAACCCCAGATAGGATTCATTTATGGTTCTAGGGGGCTTGATGGGCTTGGAAGCCATGGAATGGTTTGGGATGGAAGGGAAATGAAAGCTCACCTCATTCCACCCCTGCCATGGCAGGGACACCTCCACTGTCCCAGGTGGCTCCAAGCCCCATCCAGCCTGGCCTTGGGCACTGCCAGGGATCCAGGGGCAGCCCCAGCTGCTCTGGGCACTGTGCCAGGGCTGCCCACCCTCACAGGGAACAATTCCTTCCCAAAATCCCACCTGGCCCTGCTGTGTCAGTGTGAAGCCATTCTCTGTGTCCTGTCACTCCCATTCCTGAGGAACAGGCCCTCTCCATTTTTTTGTGGCCCTTCAGGCAAGGTCACCCCAAAGCTTCTCCAGGCTCAACAGCCCCAACTTTCTCAGCCTGTCTCCATTCCATCTCCCATTGATTTTCTGACACCACCAGCAGCACTGCCTCGAGCCTGCCTGTTCTGTGTTTGTTTATTGATGCAGGGAGCTCAGGCCAGGTTCATCAGGAGGTAATTAATCGTTATGTAATCCCTGGGAATGGTGTGAGGGAGCAGTGCCACAGAGCAGGAGTGGGGTGGGGCAGGGCCAGCTACCACCCCCCAAATGCAGCACCCCGGGACCTCCTGGCTCCTTGTGGGGCTCTAACCTGGGGACATCTGAACCATCAGCTCTCCTGCCATGGGGACACGGCTGGCAAGGAGGGGAAGAAGAGATGACACCAAAAATGTGGTGGCTTGATAGCCTGTGAAGGATGGCCCCGTGGCCTGGGGAGGTGCTGGCTGCAGAGGAGCTGAGATGAGGCCCTTGGGGCTCTCAGTTCTGCTTTTTGTGCCAGTGAGAGTTCAGGGAGGGCTTTCCTCTGCCTCACCTAGAAACTGGCCGTCCTGAACCTTCCAGCCTTCCTCTGGTGGCTTCTTTCAGGGCTTAAAATAGTTCCTGTGTTTGTCACACTGCATTTCACAATAGCTGCGGGTGAGTCACAGGCAGAGGCCAAAGAGCCACTTCTGTCACCTGAGCAGGCACCTCTGACCCCTCCAATCCACAATCCCAGCAGTGCTGTCCCTCGGTGCCTTCCAGGAGCGATCCTGCTCATCCCCTGTCTCCTGGCATTCCCAGGGTTGGCCAGAGCAGGGCCAGCCCCCACTCTGCTGCAGGGCTCTGCAGGGAGATCCTTTCCCTTGTTTCTGTTTCCTGCTTGGCTCCTGGCGTGGCTCTCTGGCAGTGGTTTACTGAGTAACTTTTATGTGACATTTGTGGAATGCACATTCCAGCCCTGCTCCTGCACCGACCTGTCACCGGTGACGTGCTCAGGGGCTGCTGGTGGCCACGAGGGGTTTTTGGGGTTTAAATGATGGGAATGAACCCCCTGGAGTTCAGCAGCACCTCCTGGGCACCATGCTGGCAGCTGTCTGCCCGGATTTGTTTTGGTTTTGGTGCTAATTAACACCCCAAGGACAAATTATCCGTGGGATTGAAATGTCCAGGAGTGGAGGAGCTAAAAGATGGAACTGGCATCCAAAAGTTTCTTGGGGTTTTAGTCTGGGAGGCTGCTGGGATGGGGGACGAGCAGATGGAGAGAAAGGGGCAGAAGATCCTTGGAATTCCAAAGCTTTCATGGTGCCCAGGGTGACTTGCTGGGCTCGGTTCAGGATTGCCCGTGCCAGGCACTGGGCATCTCCCTCTGCCTTGTGTGGTAGGAACAGCACAGCTGGAATTTGGGCCCAGAAGGGCCACGGACACCTCAGGGAGGGATGAAGTGCCCAGCCTGTCCCAGTGCTGGTCCTCCCAAAGCTGCTGGGTGGGGTAGCCAGAGTCTCCTCTGCACTACAGGGGAGATCATTTTCCAACGCCCCCTGTTCACCCCATGATCTCCTTCCTACTTCAGCTTCTTCTGCCATCCTAAGGGTCAGTTTGGTCCTTTCTGGGAAGTGCCCTTGGCTGCAGCAGTGACACTATGACAGGGTCATGCCCACACCATCCCTGTGCCACCCCTGCCCGTGTCAGCCTGCTGCCTCCACAGTGCTGGTGGTGATGTCCTGAGCTCATTTTTCCTTGGAGCTGCTGCTCTCATTTCCTCTGGGTGCACAAGTTGGGACCTCCCTGGGCCAGCTGGGGGCACGTGGGACATGGAAAGTGTTCCCTTTGGAGCTTGGGGACATGGGGAAGGGTGGGAAATACAGGATGGATATCAGGAAAAAGTTTTTCACAGAAAGGTGATAAAGTTCTGGAATGGCTGCCCGGGGAGGTGGTGCAGTCACCATCCCTGGGGGTGTTTAACAAAGCCTGGATGTGGCACTGGGGGCCAGGGTTTAGTTGAGGTGTTGGGGCTGGGTTGGACTTGATGATCTTGAAAGTCTCTTCCAACCTGGTCATTCTGTGATTGTGTGTGATTCTGTGAATTCTGTGTGTGATTCTGTGGGTGATTGTGTGTGATTCTGTGTGTGATTCTGTGTGTGATTCTGTGAATTCTGTGTGTGATTCTGTGGACTCTTGCTCTGGCCAGCTCAGAGGTGACTGTGTCCTGGCCTCCTGTGAAGCTGGCACCAGGTGGGCTCCCAGCTGGGCAGGGGCTGCTGACCCCTGGGGTGTGGCAATAGCAGCGAGCCAGGCCAGGCTGGGCTGTGGTCCCTCCCAGCACAATCTGCAGCCTGAATTGCACACCCTGACCCCAGCCCAGCTCCGTGCTCTGCTCCTGGGTTTTTCCAGGTGCTGCTGGGCCCCAGCATCCTGCAGGGGCTGAGCTGGCAGGGCCCCTGCCGGTGGGAAGCAAAGCTCCAGGGGAAGCCCCACCTCTTCTCACAATATTTACTTCCCCTCCTTGGAGCTCTCCCAGCTCTGGAAGTGCAGAGCAAACACAGTGGGGCACTTCTGGCTCCCGTTTGGAAGGGCTGAGCCTCTCCCCGTGCTCCTTCCACGTTTCCCCCTGCCCTGCCCTCTGTGTGAGAGCATCTGGTGGTGGCTGGGTGAGAACCCAGCCAACCTGAGCTAAAGAAACCCCCTAATTTCTCCTGAAACGCCCTAATTTCTCCTGAAGCAGCAGGAGCTGCTGGGCTGCGTTTGGGCAGCGAGCCCAGATGGAAATGGATTTGTCCCCTGTGGTAAGGACACGGCTGTCCCTGCCAGCTCCTGGAATGCAGCAACACTTCAAAACACAGCAGAGATCCCTCATTTTCCTCCCTCTGCTGAATGATTTGCCCAATATTCCTTCCTGCCCTCCCCAGCCTGTCCCTTGGTTCGTGGTGACAGTGTCACCCAAGCTGTGGGAAGCTGTTCAGAGGGGTTTGTGGTGTTTACAGCAAGAATTAATCCTCTGTAAGCTCCCCTGCAGGTTTTCCAAACACAGAGATGTAAACTGCAGAGTGGGAAGAAAGGTCACAAGCAGAGCTTGGCCGGCTCCTGCAGGATTTCCATCCACAGTGGGAATTGTTTCCCTGGGGGAGAGGCAGCCTGGGCTGGGGGAGACGGCAGGAAAAAGGGGGAGGAGGTGGGATTGTGTCCGTGGGGAGCAGTGGGTGAGCTGCTGACTCAATGAGCTTCTGGGAATGTCTGGATGCTCCTGAGTCAGCAGCTCCTGTCTCACCCCTCTGCCACGTGTGACACATCTCCTGGTCACTCTGGACTGTGAATTTTACAAACTCACAGAATCACTGAGGTTGGAAAAGGCTTTCAGCATCATCAAATCCAAGCTGTGCCCCATCCCCACCCTGTCCCCAGCCCAGAGCCCGAGTGCCACCCCCAGCCCTTCCTGGGACACTCCAGGGATGGGGATCCAACCCTCCCTGGGCAGTTCCAGTGCCTGAGCACCCTTTCCATGGGGAAATTCCTGCTGTGCCCACCCTGAGCTGCCCTGGCCCAGCCTGAGGCCGTTCCCTCTCCTCCTGTCCCTGTCCCTGGGAGCAGAGTGCCATCCCCTCCTGGCTGCACCCTCAGATAGATCTTGGCTGGATTATCTGACACTCAGGATTTCTAGAAATTCACCTGTGGTATCATCAGAGAGCTTCTGCACTTTGAGGTTTCCTTGCTTCCTTTTTTCCCCCCATGCTACAAACAACAGGCTGCATCTCCTTTCCTAGAAGTTTCCATCTCCCTGTGATGGGAGGTGGTTTGGGCTTTGGAGCCTGGAGGGAGGAAGGAGGATCCAGCCACTCTGAAGCTGTGGGCAGCTTCAGCAAGCAGAAATGCCCCTGCAAGTTTCCCTCCTGGTGAATGGCTGGGGCCAGCCAAGCCGAGCAGGGATTGGAGCAGCAGGAATGTTGTTCTCCTCACTCTCTCTGCACTCACTCTGGTTTGTCCCTCCAGGCCAAGAACAAGGAAACAGGAGCTTTGGCAGCTGCCAAGGTCATCGAGACCAAGAGCGAGGATGAGCTGGAGGATTACATGGTGGAGATTGAGATCCTGGCCACCTGTGACCACCCCCACATCGTCAAACTGCTGGGAGCCTTCTACTGGGATGGCAAACTCTGGGTAAGGCTGGGATGGGATGGCATGGCATGGCATGGCATGGCATGGCATGGCATGGCATGGCATGGCATGGCATGGCATGGCATGGGAAAGGCTGGCCCAGGTGGGATGGGACATCCTCACCCTGCTCAAAGGGCTGCTCATGGTGAAGCAAAACCCCTGGAGCTGCTTGAACATCAGAAATGAGTCATGAGCTCACTTTGTGCTCAGGGTCTGGATTTTCCCTGCTGTCTTTATCACCAAACTCTCTTCTAACTAAAGCTGGTAAAAACCCAAGGGAAGGCCAAGGGCTTTCACAGGGAAGTTGGAGTTGTGTTTTTTTCCACCATTAAGGCTTTGAAAAGGTAGAAAAAGCATCACCAATAAGTTCCCCTCTCTTTTAAAACACCAGCTGGAAGGGTGACTCTTCCAAGTGATTTTCTGGACTTGGGGCTCAGCACTTGCAGTGCAGAGGCACCAAGAGCTCCACTCTTGAGGTGCAGGGCCATAAAATGCAGAGGAGTGGGTTGGTGCAAGGGCTGGAACAGCAGGTTCCTGAGCTCTCTCCCCTAGCCCAGCAGGTTTATGTATGATTTTTATTTCCCCTGCCTGCTGCTCTCTCTGAGTGCCTGGCAGCACAGGAAGCTGAGCGTGAAAGGCACCTTCCTGTGCTCTGTGCAGGGCACGGAGAGCTGAGGGAGTGAGCCCTTGCATACTCACCTCTGTGCCCGGGGGAGGATTGTGCAAAGCAGGTGAGCAGGAGGATTTCCAAACCCACCTCCTCAGTTCATCTGCTCCTCCTTGAACTGATGGAAGTCAGGAGAGTGGCAAAGCGTGCATTCAGCAGCTCTGGTGCTTCTTCCTTCCTGTTTTTAAAGTTTCAGGTACGTTTGTGGCCTCCCTGAGTAAATTTAATAGAGTGAAAAAAAGAGATCTCAGCTTTTGGGACTTGCCGTGGTGTGAGCTGAGCTGCCAGTCCCTGCCTGTGGTGCCGAGGGCTGAGCTGGGATAACACAATCCCAGTCTGGCTCATCCCTGGGTCCAGCAGTGCAGGAGAGGGATGTTTTATTGGGCTCATTCAGCAGGCACCTTTTGCATTGTCAGCACGTGTTTTCTTTTTTAAAAATCCATGCCTAAAGCTCCTGAGCTCTCTGAACACCCAGCCTGGAGTGCTGGAGTGTTTCTGCTCTGTCTTCTGGTCTCGAGGGAGCTGAGTTGTCCACTTGGTATTTTGGATGGATTCTGAGCCCTGGGTATGTTAAAGAACAAGGTAAATATGTACTCTGCTAAGGAAGGGAAGGACAAACATCCCTCCTAGGAGGGGACTTGGGATCTGGATGGATTGCAAGTGCAGCAGGATTAATCTGAGCTAAAGTAAAAAGGCAAACATTCCCTGAGCCAGGGTGAGAGATGAGGCTGCTTTATCTGCCACACTTTTCTCCTGGCTTCACCTCCCTGCTCTGAAATGTCAGCCCCCTCCCCACCCCCTCCCTGCCATGGGAATCTTTGCCTTCCTTCCTTCCTTCCTGGAGGAAAGGGGATTGCAGAGTTCCTTTGTCCAGGGAGGGCTTTGTGATGTCAAGCTCAGGGACCTGCTAAAATTAAACTCTGCAACAAGAGCCTCCTGTCTGGGGCTCCCCCACCAGGGCAGGACCTGGGCTTCTGTCAAACCCACCCTACAGCCCCAGCCCTTGCTCTGGGAGCAGGATCCTTCTCTTTATTTCATTATTAGAGTAGCATTTGCATTTCACTGCTCAGGCTGGTTTTATTAATGCTCCAGTGTTTTCCTGGCTTGGAGGGGAGTCATTAAGCCAGGCTGTTTTACTTCTGTAAGGCTTTCAGTCCCTACCAGATTTTCCCTGAAGTCAAAACCTTCCTCCTCTTGGTGACCAGTGCTGCTGGGGAAAATTTGCATCCAAATATAAACAGAAGCTTTTATTGTTCTGCCCACATCCCATCCTCATTTCTGTCTGTGCAGTTTTTGAACCAGCATTTTCCTGGAGCATTTGCATGGTGGGTGCCTGGATTCCCAGAGTGGCTCTGGAAAAAACCTCTGGGGGTGCCTGGCTGGTCAGAAACCCACTGTGGCTTCCTTGCTGCTCACAGCCAGCATGGAAAGAGAATATTCCAAGTGAGAAGAATATTCTGCCCAGCATGGAAAGAGAATATTCCAAGTGAGCAGAATATTCTGCCCAGCATGGAAAGAGAATATTCCAAGTGAGCAGGTCCAGATGTGCCCAAGCTCCTGGGTGGCAGCAGCTCTTTGGCTCTTGAATAATTCACAGTGCCACAAGCAGGCTCAGCCTGAGAAGAGCTCTTCCTAAATCACTCTGGCTGTTCTTTCCTTGAGTTCACAAGGGAAATGTGTGAGGAACCCTGGCCCTCCTGCTGCCCCTGAGCTGTGTCAGGTCCCCGTGGCTCCTCTGCCAGGCTCTGGCTTTGTGCTCCAGCAGCAAGGAGGGGCCATGAAATATTTATGGAGCAAGAGACCTTTCTGTGCAAGGGGAAGTGCCTCATCCTCCTGCAGCTGCTCAGAAATCCACAGCACTGGAAGGAAAGCACAAACCAGAGAGTTCCTCTGCGTTTTATACCTGGTTGGCATCAAGTGTAAAAGGAAGAAAACCACAGTTCTTGTGTGGGATGGAGCAAAGCCCACTGTGAGCAAGGGTTGGGAGAACCCCAGTGAGTTCCCAGGAATAAATCTGGCAGGGTAACAGCGTCCAGCATGAACTTCCTTGGCATTTCAATCCTCTGCAGAGAGGCTGTGCCCTGCCAGCAGCTCCTATCTCATTCCATCCCCCTCCACCTCCTTTTCTTTGCTCGTGGCAGAGGCCAAGAAGTCTTGTGCTGCTTGAAAACAGCCCAGAGAAGCTGCAGAACTGCCCTGGTGGGAGCTTTCAGGATTTTATTTTATTTTTATTACAAGCCCCGTGGCATTTCATGTTCTTTTGCATAAATCCTGGCTGCTGGAAATGGGGGCACTGAATGAAAGCTGAGATTCTCATGCTTTCTTTTAAAGAGTGTGGTTTGAGTCTTTGTGGCTGGGACACATTTTAAAGTCTCTTTTCCTGCACTGTGATGCAGGACTTGGAAACACAGAAGCAAATCCCCCTCACCCAATATAACACAGCTTTTAAAATGGACTTTTAAAAGTTATTTGTGGCTTAGGAATGGGACTGAAAGGGGGTTTGCTTGCTTTGAACAGAATTTTCACTGATAATTATTACAACATGGGAAAGGAAAACAACAGCTCTTGTGTTTTGTGTCCCTCTCAAGGGCTGCGTGTTTGGGAGTCCTTTTTTCCCCCTTCCAAAACAACAACAAAAAACCAGACTGAGACCTCAGAGGAAGGGAGGAACTTTTGATCTGCTGCTGCTGAGCCCCTCTGCTGTTTCCGAGTGTCTCCTCCCGCAGCCAGAGCAGTGATAAGACAGAGGGGAGGAGAGTTTAGTTTGCTGTGAAGATCCTGACCTTTCCTGCAGGAACCCTCTGCTCCCAGGGGATGGTGGCTGTGCCCAGCCACCCCAGCAGGACTGCAGGAAACCCAGGAGCCTGAGATGCTCCAGCAGAGTCTGCAGGAATCTCCAGAAATTCATTAAAATCTCATTTGGCACCAGGTGCTGAAGCACTGTGCTGGTGGTGGGACAGCTTTTCCAGGGAAGCCCTGGGGAATTGTCTCCCCCTCCCTGCTTCTCCCTGCCCCTCAGTTGCCATGGCAAAAGGGGTTTTTGAATAAACAGCCGTTTCCTGGAGATCAAAGCAGGGATTGCTGCACCGTGCAGGTAACCCTGCCTGCCTGGGCCATGGGGGAATGGTTCATTTAATCAGCTTAGGGTTTCTCCTGTGTGGGTACAGACTCCTACAGCTGGCACAGAGACTCCAGCTCTGTGCTGCTCTTTGTACTCGCCTTAAAAAAGCCCTTTGCATTTTCTGTGGGCAGGCCCTGACCTGTTCAGCCAGGGACTTTTGGGATTGCTCCCCCTTTGATATGGATGTTGACTGGAGATTTGGGCATTCTTGAAAATCCTGTAGCATAAAGAAATGTTCATTATCCCATGCACTCGACTGCTGGGCTATGTAAAGCATCTGCAGCCTCTGGTTCTCTGAGGCTGGCAATACCTTTTCTTTAAAACAAACAGAAAAGGGAGCTGGTAGCAGGCTCAGATTCCCCACAGCTTTCCTTAGCACAGGGAGGTTATCACAACTTGCAGGGATGTCTTGCAGGGTGAGCAGCCTGAGCTTGGCTGGATGCCCGTGGGGATCTGTTTGTGTGCATGCTGGACAGAGCAGGCTCTCCAGGCTGCTCAGCCCTCAGTCCCCGAGGAATCCCATGGCTCTTTGTGTCCCTTTAAAGCTCCACTTGGCAGCAGAGCTGCAGCCCTTCCTACTTGGCCTCCTGCTCCTGGAGCTTTGTACCAAACTTCCCCCAGAAGTTCTTGAACTTTGTTGTTCGTGGCTTGCGGGGCTCGAGTGTAGCCGAGGGAAAACCCAGGAAAACAAAGAGATCCCAAACTCTGCTAAACAGCTCACCAGCGTCCTGGAGGAACAACAATCCCTTCCCCTGCTCCTTGTCCCAGTTGCAGGAACATAAATCCCAATTTCTCCCGGATCTGGCAGTTCCCTGGGACACGCAGGGCTCGGGAGCTGCTGCAGGATCAGCCCCGCTGGGAAAAGCAGCGTGGGGGTGGGGTTTGCTGGACCGGTTTCCAAATTCCTACCAGTCCAGAATTCGGGCAGAACTGCAAAACACCCCCAGGGACTTCAGCAGGGTGGGTAGGAGAGGAGCAGGTGTGGGCAGATATCAGCACGCATCGGGACAGGGCATTGCTTGGCCCTGGGAGCTGGGAGTGCAGCAGGGACATCACAGTGTCCCCTCCCTGTCCTGAGGGGCAGCTCCTCTGCTTGGCCAGAGCTGCAAAGTGGAAAAAGTGATGCAGCCCAGTGGCTTTCTGGCACTTTGCTGCATTCCCAGGGTCAGCAGTTTGCTGCTCAGAGTAGCACAATTGAAGAGGGTGGTCACTCCT